CGGCCACTTTCTGGCAAAACAAAACAGCAACAGTGCATCTTCACATATTTGAAGAAATAGCTGAAAGTTTAGAAATGCAAACATTATGCTTGCACGAGAAATGCCATATCGAGACTTCACTCTTGCTAAACGAACTTATCAGGCTCGGTTGCTAACACGACAGTCTTTCCTTTTTCTGTGTGTCTCTAATTCGAAGCTCTCGGGAATTTGAAAATAAGAATGCTATGTTTATAAGTAGGTTATCGAGACCACCAGTAAGCCATTTATATATGATTGTATTCAGCATATCACGATGAACTTGATATGGGGACTGGTAGATGAATTTTCCCACAATTATATGAGTATAAATGACGTTTCCATTGACTTTCATATAGCCTTGCTTTCCCATAAAGTATTCTTCCCCAAAGTGGACTGATGTTTCGACCTCGCCTAGGTCTTATCAACACCCCCTGCGGGAGTCGAACCATGACAATACAGCATGTAAGCTAGACACGTTAACCACATTGCCACATTGAAACGAGTGCGCTTGTGACACAGGGCAGATGTACATTCGAAGGAAGACCAGGCATTATCAAATATCGCATTCTATAATGGGATTGTTGATAACAAATGTATTTTTGCTATAACAGTGGACTACATTACTTATTTTTCGTATAAGTAGAGTCTCGAGACTACCAGTAGATCAGTAATATGAAAGGTATCTTCAGGCATGCTTACATTTATAACAACAAATGCAGCGTAACTTTCACTTCGTTTGAGAAGGTTGGTCAAAGGGATTCGTAGATTGCCCTCACCGGATATCGCAGGAGTGTTGCCCTGGACTTTTGTCTGTTGAATTGTGCGAAGAAGACCTGGACTCACCGTTTTATGACCCCGATGAATTTGTGCTGAACTATCGTTCGTCCTGTGACGGACATCGTCAGAGCCAGATACCATTATTCACTAAAAATCACCAAAAGACACTATACCGGAATAGGGTGGCCAGCTGAGATCCTACTTACTTCGTAAACCTCACTTTGCGATCTTAATGAGGCATTCCATGACTTGAAGGTATGAAGACCAAGATGGTGTGGCCTTTCGTGTGGTCGCAGTCTCCTTTCGTTGTATAAAAGTTGTTTGACCTTGTTTTCGCAACATGATCATATTGTAAGGAAGACTTATTGGAACGCACCTAGTCCGGGGTCCATTGTCTGCATGATCATTTCCAAAGTTGAACCGTTGACGTGGTACATTCCAAATCGTTTCACCGGCATCGTAGTCGGCATCGTCAGTGAGTATCGCCATTCTTAGCACCACACAACAACTCGTCGAAGAGATTTGGTTGACAATTTTAGGTTCAAAAACAATATACACTTTATGAGATGTATTCACCCAATTTTGTTTAAGGTGATGAAGGACTGGTAGTAGAATTTTTCCACAATGATTTGAGTATAGCTGACGTTTCCATTGAATTTTACATAGCCTTGCTTTCCAAAAGTTGTTCTTATCCAGACAGAAGTGGACTGCAGTTTCGACCTCGCTTCGGTCGAACCTCCGGCGGGAGTCGAACCGTGAAAGTGCAGAATGGGAGTTTGACATGTTAACCACTTGGCCACTTTGCCACCAGTGCCCTTGTGTCACAGGGCAGATATCAATTTTACTGAAGCCCAGGCCCTTTGCCATATTACTTTCTTTGATGAAAATTCTACTACCATGTTCTTCATCACCTTCAACGAAGTAGAGTAAATACATCTCATATTAAATTAGACTTTATGATTGAGTGGCTGTTGAGCCGCCTACAAAAATGAGGCGACACAACTAGTCTTTTCTTGTTTTGGTTCTAATCATAGTCACTTCTCTGTACTTTTAGCTTACTTTTTCTCTCTCGCATCAAGACCAAAAAAAATTGGCTCATCAACATAACCAGACATGTGTCCGACTTTGTGCAATCTAAGCGATGGTTATAACATGTGCGTAGAAAGAGGGAGATAGTGGTCATAAAACCTTGATGACCGAGAACTGGCATTACGCTTGTTGTCCTAATTGCTTTGAGCCATCATTGCTGGCTTCACGCATATGCGAATAATTTCATGGACATACACATGCAAGCGCATACACATTTAGAGACAGACACACTCCCTTGCTTCGAGGTTGAGATATGTCTGGAATTAACAAAATCACTTTAGAGAAGTTGATTGACCTTATTTTCGCAACTTGGTCATATTGGTAGGAAGACTTAGAGGAACGCACGTGGTCCAGAGTCAATTGTATGCATGATCATTTCCAAAGTCGGACCGTGGACGTGGTACATGCCCAGACGTTTCGCCAGCATCGCCAGTAAGTCTCGCCATTCTTATCACCACACAACAACTCCTCAAAGAGACAAGTGAAGCCGACCCTTTGACCAAACGTGAACTAAACAGTTGTGGTATCTCCCATTCTGCCCTGGGCTATTCACATTTCCTATATCCTCCTATCACACCTTCACTGTCACAATTTTTTACTTTGCCTATTTCGATATAGTGTGGTGTGCTCCTTTGAGCAACTTTCATGAAAACCATTCACACTCCACGCTATCGTTCTCATCCCCTTCACCATTGTGCTGGGAATGTGCATCAGAGTCTGCCATATTGTTACGCAGTCCTCCTTCCTTAGGACTTACAACAGTCTCTCTCTTGCTCCGTAAAATCCGTCTACTCTCTCTCTAGTTCACATATTTCACTCGACCCCTGCCACCCCATCTGTGCCACTCGAGGCGTTATTCGCCCTCCCCTCCGTCTAAGTTACTAATTCGAAGCTCAAGCCTCTGAGTAAGTATCATAGTCACGCCTTTGTCACATGGACTACGTCTCTTATAGAATCTACTGTCAGCACACACACTCCCATTGCCGCCGCGTCTATCCTGTTTCTATCTCTAATTTTCGTATTGGAGTAGAGTTTCGATACTACCAATAAATCATTAATATGGGAGGATTTCACCCTATTTCGTATAAGGTGATGAAGGACTGGTAATAGAATTTTCCCACAATGATATGAGTAGATATGACGTTTCCATTGAATTTCACATAGAATTGCTTTCCTAAAAGTTGTTCTTATCCAGACAGAAGTGGACTGCAGTTTCGACCTCGCATCGGTCTTATTAACACCCTCAGCGGGAGTCGAGCCACGGCAGTGCAGGATGTT